TACTACGACTACGACTACGACTACGACTACGACTACGACTACCTACTACCACCACTGCCACTACGACTACGACTACGCTACTGCTGCTACTGCTGCTACTACTACTACTACTACTACTACTAGTACTTCTACTCGTACTTCTACTCGTACTTCTACTACTACTACTACTACTACTACTACTACTACTGCTACTACTACTACTACTACTACTAGTAGAAACAACAACAACTACTACTACTACTACTACTACGACTACGACTACGACTACGACTACGACTACGACTACCTACTACCACCACTGCCACTACGACTACGACTACGCTACTGCTGCTACTGCTGCTACTACTACTACTACTACTACTACTAGTACTTCTACTCGTACTTCTACTACTACTACTACTACTACTACTTCTTCTACTACTTCTACTACTTCTACTACTTCTTCTACTTCTACTACTTCTTCTACTTCTACTTCGACGACGACGACGACAACTACTACCGCTACACGACGACAACCACTACTATTGTTTCATAGGGGGGTGTTGTGAACTTGCACGTGGCCAGCTCAGGCGATGCATGTAAGGACTCCCTCAAGCAGCCCTCAAGATATATTCAAAGGAAGTTCGACAGCCCGCAAGATATTCTCAAGGGAAGCTCGCAGCTCGCAGCGGGATTTCTCTTCTTGCTCCACAGAGTCGGTGGGGTGGAATAAAAACGCTATTGGAAGCGCAGACCAAGGAATTGATTGTTGCTCCGGAGGCCGGGATGGGACGTGTATCCTATCGGTGTTGGGACTCAGCTGCGATTAGGCGTTGATGGGCTTTTCGGGTGAGGGCTCAGGTCTAGTGGACCTCGAGGACCTACCCTTTGACAGTTCATGGGGCATAGTATCAGGAGGAAGCCTGGAGGAGATGTCTTGGATAATCCTCGTCGCTGAAGACATCCGTCCATGTCACGCAGACATTCATGCAGGATGGCGTCTACATCTACGGCCTCTTCATGGAAGGTGCAGCAGGGATCAATTGGCCACAGCATCCCCAAGAGTCCTGTGGTAGGTGGTTGCAGTCTTCAGCTTTGCGTATGGTTTGCGTGAAGGCGCACGCTGGGACAACGACACCCACATGGTGCGCCCCTTGCGGCTGCCACACAGGGGCTCGGAGAGCAGCGGCAGTACTGGTACTGACCTGCAAGCCTGCAAACGAACCGCTTCAGAGACTGTCTAAGAGTGAGTGATACTTCAACATGTGAACCGTAGAAGGCAAGCCAACTCAGAGCAGGTGCCGCCGCACTTCTTGAAGGAAGTAGCACAAATTTGACTCCACGATAAGATAAGTTGGGCGCATCTTGGAGCATGCGCTTACATACTGGGGTACGTCCCGAGTTCATGTCGTGGATTGGGTTGCAAGACAAAGCCTCGAGACACTGCCAGCAAGCTGTAACAGCGAGCATTGGATGCATTTTCTAGTTCTAGTCGATTGAAAACTTTGTCTGGTTTCGGCGTATGTTTCAATCCTAAGACCCAACCGACACACCCCTCGACCAGAGCCGATTTCCGAAGCCGCGAAACAGCTACAACTATACTGTAAAGTTCAAAGCTCAGGTCCAGGAGTCCCAGCCCAAAGTGCTCTTCACGGAATTGCCTTCGCTTTGGTTCTTGCCGGTCAAGGACCAGGGCGCGACCGGGGTTTCGGGTTTAAGGATCCCCGGAGAGCTCGGGCCGTAGTAGAGAAGTTAGTAGATTAGTAGGAGGTTTTGACAGTTTCGGCCGTCAGCCAAGCAACTCGGGTTTAGGGTTTCGAAGTCTTGGTTCTGGAGCCCGGCAAATGCTTAAAGATCGGCCACGACTGAACGCTGAGTCTGACGCTTGGGACCAGCCTTGATAACGCTGGAATCATAAATTCTGAGCATCCTGAACCGTAAAAGCCTAAGCCTTCAGACAGAGACGTCTGATTCCCATAATGCCGCAACACAATCGGAAGACATATTTTTTTCGAGCGGTTGAGGCTCAGAGGTTGATGTTGAGAGATTTCGTTAGAGCTTCAGCGCTGGAGGGCTTGGAGCTTTTGGGTACGTTTCCTTGGGCCTAAACACTTAAATTATTCTTATTCCTGAGATACAGACGGAGCTTTTGAAAAGACCCTTTGGGCAGAAGCACTTTAGGGTTTGGAACTTGGGCCGCTATTGGGGAGAAAGTGTTTAAAGCTGTTTTCAAAAAGCCTTGACAAGGACCGCAAGCCCAACCCGAAAGACTACCGCTGCCCAACCTACAAGGCAAAGTTGCAGGGCGAAGTGAACATTCGGGGATTTCGAAGTGGCCTGGGCTTGTTTTCGGGTATTGTTTGTGGCAGCGCCGTGCAAAATCTTGCCTTTGTGATCTGTTTGATCACCGCGTTCACCGCTCAAAGGGCTTTGGTCAAGTGATGGCTGCAGTTTCTACTACTTCCTTAGGCTTGCAAGAACAAAGACCTGACGAAGTAGTAAGAAGTCGGGGAGGTTAGAGGGTTTTCACTGGCGCCGTTCGGCTCAGCTGAGACTCAACTACATGTGTTACCGTACTATCGAGCGAGACACTTGCTCAGAGGCTATCTTCAGAGCTCATGGGTGCCCAAAAGGTTCGCCAATCCAGCACTGCGCAGGTCCTCTCACGAAAGGGGACGCTGCTAACGACCGGGCACTCAACGAACTTCGTGCTCTACCTCGAACTCCCGACGGATCAGGCTGGGAATTTGCACCTAGCCACTCTGGCAAAAAGTCTTGCCGAATCAACGGTGAGTTTCAGAGCATACACGTGTAAAGTACATAAGGATTAGACTTGGTGTTCCTTAGGAGCTAATCTCATCCTGATGTGCAATAATAACATGCTAACCCCAGGGGTTAGTTTTGCATGATTGTGCGTAAGGGCTTATGAGTAACACATGTCCTACACTGTAAATCAGTACCAGTACCTGTGACTGAGCAACCAAGTACATGCATACATCCATAAATTCTATAAGGTTACTTGCATCACTGGCATACATACAAACATAGACACATACACGCGTGCTCACACATAAGTACATACACACATAATGCATGCCTGCCTGCCTGCCTGCCTGCCGGCCTGCCTGCCGGCCTACATACACCCATTTGTGAATGCATCCACATGTTTATGCATCCATCTGCCCTTATGTGCACACACACACACATATATATATATATGGGCACACACATGGCCGTATACGTTTCTCCAATGCGCACGCGCCCTTACATACCTCCGCAATTAGCCTCCGTGAGCCCGGGTGTGGATATCTTCTGGAATTTGGCATCTTCGGTTTGCGACGTTTCAACAACTTATGATTATGACCTGTTTTCCAGATTGCTTTGTAGGCAGAAGGCTGGGCTCCTTATGTTGTCGTTGGCACGCTTACCGCTTCAGCCTCGTTCCTTTTCGCTGCCCCACACCCGTAAGCTCTAAGTCTCTAAGCTCGAAGGGGCTTATGGGGGGGTGCGACACTTGGGCGAAGCTGAGCCCGTGCTCCTTACTGCCTCCAAACGGCCACTGATTAAAACCCAGAAGCCTCATCTGGAGAGGACACCTCTGTAGAAGTCTTGCACATCAGCAAGCAGCTGTCTCCCGACTGTTTCCTGATCCAAACTGAGTTGAAGCTGGCGGGGCCAGGCCGTGTCGAAATGGATCAAGGCAGGAGTTGCTTCCTTCCTTGCTCTGCCCCGTGGCTGAACACGAAGTGCCTAGGTTTCAGCAGGAGTCTTTTCGGGGTTTCGCGAGTTTGTGATCTTACAGGCTTAGGCTGCATCTCGTCCGTTCATTGATGGTCGTTCCAGTCAGCACGGCATAGAAAGTCTCTTGCTGCTTCCGAGTTGCTGAGTCACATCTCAATATGTCGCTATGCCCATTCTGCACCCACCCCGTGTTCACTCAGGAAGCATTAGCACCAGTGAGGCGTCTGAGTCAAATATCCGTTGCAAAGACATGTCCAGAGCGGTTATGGCATCGTCTTGCTGCAGCTACACGGAAAGTGCACCAAGTACTAGCCTCAAAGGTTGTGCAAACGAGGAACATCATACCCTGTGATTTTCCTCTGCATAATTATTCGTCAGTGAGTTTAGCAGTTTAGAGTCTAGCATCACAATAATCGAAAGCTTATGTTGCTGCTCAAAGAGCACTACGCAACAACTCAGTCTGACGCACGCCGCTGTGTTTGAACTAGCGAGCTTGCCCACAACCCGAGGCTAAATCAGTGACAGAACTCGTCAGCTTCATGCGCACATGCTGCATTATGTCATTTGACATTCAGAGCTGGTTACCAACACTGCACATCAACCCGCCAGCTTCTGCGGCTGCTTCTCTCTCAGTTTATGCAATTGTGCATACCTGCGCAGGTAATGGTGAAACATGCTTGTTTTCTCAGAAGCATTACATCTCTCACTACGTGCGACGAAACATCCGGCGTGCTGTCTGTGTTCATAGTGACCCGAAGCCAACCCAAATGCGGTGGGCTCAAAAAGTCGGCAGCAACTTCGCAACAGGGGCCATGCGTGCTTTTCTTCCGGAAGGTTTGATGACATGTCGAGTCTGTTGCGAAGATCCACCCAACCTTCAAGCCGCTAGAATCATCATAGTGCGGACCCTCTCGTGTCGTTTTCGTTGGAAAGCCATGTGGCGACGATGTTATGAATTTCAAAGCTGGGTAACTCTGCAGCGATCTGCGCGGCGAGAAGACAAGAAGATAAGGAGTCTGTCGGACACTGGGCCTGTTTTACGAAAAAATTAAAGCTAGTGTATTCATTGTACCACGGGTATCGGCTATCTTGCGACATGTCATTGTGACTCTTCACTGTCAACTGTTCTGCAGTATAGGGCCATCCATTTGGCGGCGCAAATCGGCTTCCTCGCCACATCAGCCGCATGCATCAAGTCGAACTAGTCCTACGGCCTGCCGCACAGCAGCCTCGGCTCGAAGCCGATAGAGGTACCTTAGTCCAAGTACAGGTGCACATCAATATGTTTCTTACGACATCACACTTGTCTTGCGAATGACCTCAGGTTTAGCTGACAGAGATACCTTATGGTGACATGGGTGAACTCTACCTATGGATGTTTGCATAAAGCTATTGATTCGAGTCGCTGCCTTCCACCAGCGAAGAATCTCCTCGTCCTGGGCAATACCAGGAATAAGAGCCATATGACAAGCTAGAAACCACAACCGCACGTGTCAGAGCATCATCAATATTCAATAGCAATGGAAGCCTTAGCAATCACCGAAGCAAGCCATGCTGTTGATCTGGCGAAAGGGCAAACATGAAAGCACAAAAAAATATGTATGTATGTATGTATGTATGTATGTATGTATGTATGTATGTATGTATGTATCTATATATATATATTATATCGATTGATATACTATACCGGAAAGCTTATTCTCTGGAAGAGTTCGAGACTACTCACTACTCGAACATGAGCCATGAAGTCGTCACGGCGAGAGGCGACGGGCAAGCGCCCAGCTCAGCACGACCTGAGTTAGGAATTCGGTTTAGGGTTGTTTAGGGTTGGAATCTCGGGTTCCAACTACCCCTACCGCAACCACCTCTGCTTTGAACAACCAACGACATGTTAGATGTCCTTTCGCAGTGCTTGGGGTCAGTATGCCCCACGGAACTACAACAACCACATCCCGATCTCAAGCCATTGCATCCTCAATTCCTCCACATCTCTCCACCCCAACAGAACAGAAAACGTCGCAACACAGAGCACCCTGAATTCCTCACTTCAAATCCGTCAGCGCAGTCCATACTTCGCACTCAGATGCTTAATTCCAGCTGGCCACTCCCGGCGCGCACTGGCACTCCTTCGGCGGAAAAGGTGCCTCAGGCCCAAATTCCACGGGCTTGCGAAGGCGAGTGCCAAAGGTGCGTCATGTCAATATTATGTGGCTAGCAAGCTTCCTCTGGTTGGTAATGACGCAGGACCTGATTCACGCTTTGGGCCGGAGTACCCAGCTTGATTGCATTGTTATAATCCGAATTGCTGAGCCATGCTGTCATGGCCATGCCTGCCATGGCCAATAAAGATCATGTGTTTCAGTGTCGCCCTGATCAACAACAACAACCACCACAACAACAGCAACAACAACAAGAAGAAGAAGAGCGTTTTGGTCGTCAGGGTGGCATTGAAATAGCCCTTTGCTTCGCGACCGTACGACCCACTACCAGTGCCATGTGTGATTGTCGTGTCTGTTGCTTATGTCATGTTCTCGTTCAGACAGTCACATTGTGCATACTATCTTTCACATCAGACGTGAGCGCAGTGTACATGAAGGCCGCACAATCGCCACCTGCAGCGATGCGAGATGTGCCACTCGGCAGAGAAGCAATATGCATGTCCAACGAGTCTAACGTCTGAGAGAAAGCAACTTCTTCTGTAGCGCATCAACTTCGGGCTGCACCGGACACGAACCGGACCCTGTTCAGGAGCATCCATCAAGACAATCCTCCTAGAGCTTAGCCAGCCTTTCCCTTTTTGTAGGTGCCAATCCGGTAAACAAGTCGACCCTTTACGTGTTGAAGGCCGGAAGCCTGCCATGTCAACTCAGCCCTGACGCAATAAGGCCAGCAACTCCGCCGCATCGGGCGGTGGTGGTGCATGCCTCAGAAGTCACTCCGGTTTGCCAGCCGTGCCTCGATCTGGTTTTTGAGATGTAGCGCTTGAAGGGGAACGGATAGTTTACCCATGAGAAGGGTTGAAGCACGGCAGAGTTTGTCGCTCCCTGTGGCTTGGGTGTTCTCCTGAAAGTGACCCGACCCCCAAGAGTTGGTGGCACAACTTTTCTACGAAGTCTGAATGAATCACCCCTGAAACTCACAATGCTATCGCACCAAGTAAGGCCCTGACCAGGGCCCGAGACCTCGGCTGAAGCGCTCCTGCGGTCAATCTGATCCTGCAAACGCTGCAGATCAACATGGCCGCAATCAGTTGCATGCCAGCACTCCCTGAACCCATGAGTCCCCCCTAACAGTAATTCTTCGGACCACGCGGCTCCAAAAAGCCAATTATCAGCAACATCATAAGAATCACGAGAGGCGGCCTCCTCGGAAGCTTCTGCAAGGCCTTTGCGCGCAAAGGGCAGAGCGTAGGGCATGGTGATTTTAGATTGAGTTCTAAGAACAAGATGTATATGGGGCACAAGAGCCTCGGAGTTGCAGCTCCAGTGCTGCAGTTTCTTGGCCGGGGGATGTGCAAGGCTTTGGCTGGCTTGGATGCTACAATCTGATACGGGAATTTCGGCTTGGCACCAGGTTTGCCAGATTGCGCTGGGATCGAGATTAGTTGGTGGCTTACGTTCTTGCTCGTCGATGTGTTCGAACGAAACCGAAAGCTGCAACAGCTGACGTTCCCCTCCGTATCTTGGTGGGATTTCATTCAAGCTTCGACCATGTTGAAGGTCTGTGAGACATGTTCTAATGCAACCCATTTCAGCTTTGAGTGCCCATGACCGCGCACACCCCGTCGCCCTGCTCGATTTTCCATCAAAGCAACCGGGCAGCTGGTGCAGCGAGCTGCGACAAGGGCATCGCCAGCGACCCAAGATGCAGCTTCAGGATGGTTTAGGTCACAGGCGTCGAGGGTTCATGGGTCGGGCTCAACCCCGTAGTTCTTGCTCCAGGCCTTGAGGGTTCAGGCCTCAAGCATTCGCTGTGCTGGTAGCGAGGAGGATGATTTCAATGTGCTTTGTTATGTACGGCTCTGCGAGTATGTAGACATGGCTACACGTCCATACCTAGTCGAAAGACCTTTGCATCTGTACAGCATGCCCTTCTGTGAGCTTGTGTGGGTGTAGATGCAACATTCGAAGTTTCCTGGGATTGAAACGACCACGACTCTGTAGAATCCCGAGCCCCTCTTTGAGGTTTAGGTTTGGGCGACGAATTTGGGGACAAGGGACTAGGGTTGAGCAGTGTTGGGTTCTTGGGGCGGATGGTAGACCCTGGTCCCTTCTCTGTTGTAGGCTGCTCTGTGTGTAGTAGCCTAAACCGTGATCCTTACCACAAGCACGCCAACGGCAAGCGCCAACAACTGAGCTCCAACTGTCCTAAACCGAACAGTACGCTAGAGCCCTTCAAGTCTCTTGAAGTGTGCATGGAAATAATATGGCCTTCACTTTGCCGAACTTAACTCATTTCGCTTGACATGTTGAAGAATTCAACTTGGGCGCTTGGGGCAGGGAATCCGAAGCCAAATCCCAGGCCGGTGCGGCGGCCCTGAATCACCAGGTGGGGGCCGAGAGCGAGCAACGGCTGACCCCACCCTGGGACTCCACACCACCCCACCCTTTACACTTTCACCCCCATTTTTGAACCCTAACAAATCAACCCTTCAATCCTGCGAGACGCCCTTGTTTTGCCAAGATCGAAACAAGTGTAAAATATCGATTCGAGTGGTTGATCTACAATGCCACAGGGGCAAACACGCTGCTGGGTCAACAACTTACGGCCGACGGAAGGGCCAAAACACAGGACATGTGCAAGGCAACTGAAGAACGATATGCATGCTAGGCGAGTAGCTAGAAACCAATGACAGTTTCGGGTTTTGAAACTGAGGTTGAGCGCTCAGGAACCAAGACACTTGTCTAACTGATGCTTGGGCTGTAACCCTTAGGGTCCATGTACCCAGATACTATAATATGCCTTGGCCTTAAAGTAGTCCCTATATTAGGCACTCCGTGGTTAATTCTTATGGGAATTGGTTTTATAGTTGTATTATACAATCAGTTAATTATATGCAATGTAGATGAAATCAGAGTAACATTTAATGCTAATCATAAATATGCATGTGAGTATAGGTTAAATGATATTAAACACTATCCTAATTGTAAGATATGCCGTGATATATAATATCTTCGCAGGTTAAACAGAAATACAGAATATAATAAGTTGTGTAGGAGATGTTTAAACAGCACGAGTGGCTCCAAGGAAAAAAATCAAACCCATTAGCAGTCAAAAGATTTTAGAGAAGTCAGAATTCATTGTGAAAAACTTGATGCATTAATTAATGAACCTAAACCAGTCAACAAACAATGGATAAAGATAGTGATGCTGATAAGAATCAGAAAAGCGCATATGTTTTCAAATTGAATAAAAAAATTTCGTTTCCAAGGAAAGACAGTAGAGTCTTATGAGATTAAATTTGACGACCAAGTGAGAGCATATTGAATATTGTATTTTTCAAAAACCTATCTGAAAAAGAGACACTTTCAGGACATGAGAACATATATATATATATTAATGGCAGAAGCATCTGGATCTACAAACAAGCTGAACTTGATAAAGTATAAAGTTATGAGTACATGAACCGACAGTATGCCATATATTGAAAACAGTATGATGACAACTTATGTAAGGAATGAAAAACTATTTGTTCAAATAATAGTAGATATTATGAAAAGAGAACAGCAACAAGACAAAGGGAGCATGCCATGGCATTCAAGGACTAGGTTATGGTCTTTTGGGGTTTTCTATGAGGAGACTTAACCCACGGATATTGGTTATGGAATGGGTTGCGGTTATGTATTGTTTAGGTGCTTTGGGTTTTGGGTTGTGTTATGGATTATTGCATTTGTGTTGGGAGGCGCTTTGCATTTAGTCGGTTTGCAGGTTGAGAGATGGGGTGAAAGCGTGCGGAGGGGGGGGGATAGGATGTGAGGTGTGTGGTCAGCCATTGCTGTGAGGGGGCCGAAGGGGCGCCGGGCTGCACCGCGTTTTGGGAATGTGAGTCGTTGGGGGTGCCTTTTGCTGCTCAGGGCCCAGGGCCGACACAATTTGGTTCTTTGTGGCTTTGGTGTGGCGATACCGTTTTTCTAGAGCACAGTGCCATGGATGGTTGGCGATGCTCATTGTTGGTTCCGGGTGTGGGTTTAAGATGTCGAAGTGGTGTTGAGCCATCCTCGACATCAAGAAGCTATTGACACTGTGGAATCACGGATAACTCACGGCTTCTTGGCTTCTTGCCTCATGACATGGAGTATGGCTTTCGGGGCGTGTCGGCTTGCACCGCTTTCAGCTGGCTTCTGGCTGCCTCAATCCGCGGCTGATGCTGCATTTATCATCTCTTACATTCTTGCTAACTGCAAACTTCAGTATACTGAAGTATACTGAAGTATTTTCAACTACATGCTAATCATGGTCTTGCATTCAAAGGCTTACACTGTTGGCTGAGTGCAGCATGGTCACGATTAATAGTGCGCCCAAGCGGAAACCAGGTACCACAGTACATCACAGGTATCACTGTAGTCCGTCCAGACTCTAGACTAGTCGTAGCTTGTGCCTGCTTCAAGTCCACGGACAGGGATCCTACCTGTGGTATTGCCGCCCGTGTTGGGATGATTGGCTCGCCACGCCCCAAACTTGTGAGTTCATGAGGTTTCCGATGACGTTTGTATCTGTGTTCTGCTCTCGGGAGCCTGACTTAGCTTATGTAGCTCTGGAAGGAGGAGTCACAGTTTCTTGGGCCGGTGTTTCAAGCCTACGGTTCCTCGGTGCTTTTGCTGGAGCAAGGCACGCACATGCACTCCTGTATCGATGCATACACCGACCACTCTGACTCTAGCTCTTCATCTGCTGATTTAACTCCTGCCTGCCACCTGTCTCGCCCTGAACCATCGGGTTTTCCATCTTTACCTGCGGGAGCGATCTAGACTAGAGTTCTGTCTATCCACCTATGACTCACCCATCCATGCACAAAAACACACACACACAGAGAGAGATCCAAATCTGCAGTGTTGCAATTTAGGTTCGCTACAAGCAGTGGTTTGCGGCGGAAGACGACGAGGAGTGGTTGGCCAATGCGGAGTCGTCTGAGGCCCATGGGGCTGGGCCTCGCAATTCGGGGCTTCAGCCTTCAAGTCCGTGCTGTTCCCTGCTTCGGATACCACTGACGTCGTCATAGGGCCTCAGCACCAGACCTAGGCCCGTTTGCTTTCCAGACAGATAGACGGACAGACAGACTACGGGGGGTTACTTGGCTGCCTAACACCATGCACTGCATCAGACAGACACACACACAGACACACACACACACACAGCTCTCTAGTGAGTCCAAGCAGTCTCCTCTCCGTTCCTCTCCAAACAAAACATGCATGGCGCTTATCTGTTTCTAAGCTGTCCCCGCAATTCGGTGTATATAACCGCTACACTCACTCCCTTCGGCCACCCCCTCCCCGCAAGTGGCCGCCGCCGTTTCCTGTGCGTTTCCTGAAACCTCCCCCTCGGCCTGCGGCTGTGTGGAGGAGGTACCTTTTTCCAGGTTAGATAACGCGCTTCTTTTCGAGCTCCTCCGGAGTCTTATCCATATGCAGCTTAAACGAAACCTCGCCCTTCTCTCGCTGGGTTATCACCCCGTTTCCCCATTCACTGCCCCAGTGCTCCTTGCAGGCCCTGCTGCACTCGCAACGACGCCTCCCCTTAATTACTCTAAAGGGACCGCGAAATGCCCCGGCTTCTTACTTCTGGTCTTGTTTGACGCGACGCACCAAATCGATGGGAGGAGTGCATACCTGACAGAATGTGCCTCCCGTTGCCAGGTGTCTACCAGCTCGAGCTCGTTCGGAGGCACGCCTAGAGGGCTTCTGCGAGGGTGCCGGTTTAGACCTTCCACCATATTCCATCAGTTTGTTGATTCCAATGATGAACTGGTGTTGATCTCCAGGCGAACGTCGAGTCACTATGGAAGCCAACATCCAAAACCGTTGACTTTCCAAGCAACCGGACTACGAGACTCTGGTTCAAAGGCCCAAAAGTTAAGACCATGCTTCGCAGTCAGGCTCGAAAGCTTCGCGACCACACAGCTTGATTTCCACAGGCAAGGTCTTTGCACGGCAAGAGTTGATGCTGGAGTTCGGGCTTCCGGCGAAATATGCACGTAGTACGAGAGGTGAGTCAGTCTTGCCAAGTCTGGAGGAGGGCAGGGGTGAAGATCAAATTCCTTGCTGTCAGGGCGTTTTCACAAAGATTGCACCAGAGGTGAGGACCTGCTGCACTTTGACTTCATTGAGGTCGGTACGTGCAACTACCACACCTTCACTCAGGCGCGAGTTTGGGATTCAGGGCTCGGGAGCTCAGAGAACCAGCAACATCACCGGAAAGCCACACATCAGCCTTGTGGAAACTTGCGCCATCTAGCTCCTGTCTCCGCTTTCAGCCCGCCAAATTTCACCGTTGCGGAGTTTAGGAAGGAACGGCAAACTTTGAGATGCTTGCCTGAATGGTACCTGAATCCTTAGCATTTGTTGGATGATTGGTAGGTACCACCGCTAAACATGTTCAACTCACATCCAACCTACAGGAGAAGAGCTAAAACAAGAATCGCACGCAAGGCATAAGAGATTCGTCCACATCGAAGTCAGAGTTGAATCAAGTCGCGAAATCGACCCGAAGCTGGAGGACCTGCGACCCATTAGGTGGCGAGGCTTGAGGCTTCAAGAAGTTGCCAGTCACACTAGCTCCTCGACAATCCCAAAACTCGCAGCGAGCCCAAACTCCTGGGACCCTCCCCCTGAACCCACCCAGCCCCTCAAGAATTCTCTGCCATAATAGTTGCCCTAAATTCCTAAATTTGCGCTCAGTTTGTTGGTGGCCATCCGAATGGAAAGCCAAGCGCTTATAGGTCGCTGCCTTGGCCGGACATTAAGGTGGAGGGCAGGTTCAGGGCTTGCCGACCGGATGAATGCCAAAAAACTATGACTCCTTCCCCCTACAGTGGTTATGCAGGTTCCGGATCTAGGATTTAAGGGTCAGCTGAAATTCAGAGCAGCAAAGCACGAACCCCGAACCCTAAAAGCTGGTCCGGGCCATGGATGTCGGGCGGGCAAGTATGAGATGAGAGAGACTAAAGCCAGCTACACTGCAGTTACGTAGTCGCAGTTGTCTCGCTGCAGCGGTTCATATGACTCATTTCACGGATGAGGAGTGCCTTCCTCATTCTGATGCTGCTGCGTGGTTCAAACTCTTCCACCCAGTAGCCCCATTAGGTATGTTTGCAACTAGATTCTCCGCATGCTATAACTGCAGTCGGGGACCCTCTCAAGGACCCTGAGCCCTACAATGCTACCAGTAGCTGCTAGATCGTACTCCGGCGGTTCCGAGCTAGCCGGAGACATGTGTTATTGTCGCCGAGCAGCTGACCCTCCAAGCCGGAACCTTATAGGCTTCACGACATTGTGGGTCTAGTGGGGCCCTCGTCCGTAAGAAACGTGGCGGCATCAGCAACCTGGCAACTGTCAGCCCAGGATTCCAGAGACTGTGCCTCTAAAGCTTTCAAGTCACCCGAAACTCTCGGTGCCTGAATCTAAATGCTAAGTCCAAACTCCTAGGCTACTCCCAAGCCCGAAACTTTCAGCGCCGAGGTACCTTCCATACAGCGATGATCTTCGTCAACTTCGCGGGCTGGCGGTGGACATGAAAAGCAGGCATTGGAGAGAAGCAGAAGAAGAGCTTCCACACTCAATATCGGATCTCTTCCATTGCTCGTCCTGTTGCCATGGCTTCTTGAAATCACAACCATTTGTTTGCGACAGAGGGTGAAAGAGGTCAATGGCTCTCGGGTATGTAAGGCTTGCCTTGCTAGGTGTTCTTTCAGGCTTGGGGGTCTACGCCGGCATAGTTTGCTCGGTCGAAGCCTGTACGATGTGCTGTCTTGTGCATGGAGACCTAGTCTCGAGCCCTCACGCCGAAGTCAACTGGACCCACAAAGACCATCGTGCAAGTACCTGCTTGCGCAGGGCTAATATGACATAGATTGCTGCAGGATGCCTTTGCAATGCGGGCGAGTCTTAAGGCGATTTTTTTGTAAATGGGGCTAGGTTTTTTGCAAAAGAATTTTAAAATATAAAAAGTTGTGGTAACAAGCATAGCCGCATGGTTATAACCCAAAAAATGGATTTGGCTCAACTTCAAAGATATAATATCAGTTTGGGTACAAACAAAATTACTTGACACACCTTTATCTAACACGTGTGTGTGTGTGTAAACAAGATGTGATGCTTGACATATCTGTGTCTAACACATGTGTGTGTGTGTGTCTCTGAGGCAGGTCCTTAGACATCACAACGTGTGATATCTATTCTCATGCCTGGCATCGAGGGGACGTATGCAACCTCAACACACAAATGGTCTTAACGGTTTCTTTGCCCTGGTTGCTTGATGCAGCGTAGTCCACAGACTTGCCGGAGCTTTGACGCAACCACCCCTAAAATCCGAGCATGACGTTAGCCGATCTCGTACAGCTCATGACACTGACGAAGGACGGACCAAGGTTCAAGCCGCAGCTGAACAGGACAGGGGTCAGCATCAGGCTCGGGCCCTGTGCAGGGGTGGGGTAGGGTGAGAACCCTCAAAAGCGATCGGGAGCAGCCCTGACAGACGTCGTACCAGGTTGGTAGGGAGGTGTGAAAGGGTTGGGAGCAGATCCCCAGGCTGACGGTAAGGGGAGGACATNNACATGGTTGGGCCGGTGTGGGTGAGGGCCCTGAATAGGGGTCGGAAGCCGCAAACGACCCTGAACAGAATTTGGAATGAAGATGAGAGAGTGGACAAGCACCCTGAACAGGGGTTTCAAAGAGATTGTCCCTGGCGGTCAAAGGCATGGGGAGGAATGTCTCGTGACCGCACATACGGAACCAGGTGCGACAAGTACTGCAGGCACTCGGTATAATCCTGCCTGCTTAGAAAGCACATTCGCACGTAATTGTCCCGGCCACCGTACTCCCTTTTGACTTGGCCCATTGCCTCAGTGATTCGGCTGGCAAAGGAATCGTGGATGCTAATGTTCGATCCCGATTAGTGTGTGATCCCTGAATTGTGTAAATTTCCCCGGTTTTATTCAGCACCTTAATTGTGTAAATTCTTTCCACCCGGATATTTTTCATAGTCGGGTTCAGGAATTAAAAGCAATAAAAGAAAAACTTAAGGCTTAAGAGCTTGAAGCTTGAACTGAAAGGCTGCAGCTGCAGGGGAATCAAGCTGGAGCTGCTCCCGGGAAGGAGGCGAGTCCTTTTTAAACCGTTTGTCCGTCAGGTCCAGCAAACAGGTATCAAAGGGGGTAGGTAGCCCACGATCAGCTTGGAGCCTCAATATTGAATTAAGTTTGTGGGGCGTTAATAACATAAGAATTGTTGGGGGTGTGAGGGCTCAGAGATTTAAAGAAAGAGTTGAAAAGCTTTAGGCTTAAAGGCCTGAAGCTAGAACTGAAAAGCTGCAGCTTCAAGAATCAAGCTGGAGCTGCTCCCTGAAACGAGGCGATTCCTTTTTTTAACCCTTTGCATGTCGAGCCTCAATAATAAGCTAGTTTTGTGGGGCCCTAATAACATACATGTTCTTTGGGGGGTGTGAGGGTTCAGAGATGAAAAGCAAAAAAGGAAAACTTTAGGCTTAAAGGCCTGAAGCTTGAACTGACAAGCCGCAACTTCAGGAATGCAAGCTGGAGCTACTCCCTGAAACGAGGCGATTCGTCACTAAACCGTTTGTCCGTCAGGTCCTAGTCCACGAGCAGCTTG